GTCTCTTTTTCTTGTTGAGAGTATATCAAACCTTGCGTTGAGACCGCCCCACGCCCACCATAATTTAGCTAGAGAAATTGTCCACTAAGTCCATACGTCAGATAACCTTTATTGAGATTTTCCGCCGTATGGACATAGCAGACACCTTTGCGAGCCAGATCATGCTGCACTTTGACAAATTCAACAAAAAGCTTGACACACTACAAAAAACCCACTGAGACTGTCCAGAAGTCCCTCGAGACTCTCCAGGAATCCCACAAGACTCTCCAGGAATCTCCACAAATTGGTGGAGACAGTCAAACAAAATAGTCAAGAAAAACATTGTCAGTCGAGAGCAAGAAGTCCAACTTAAAGTGGCCCGCCAATATGGGTCCCTGAAGAGAGAGTTTGATAAGATGAAGACCCGGAACGATCCTGCGTTGCTCAGAAAAATCTTATTTCCAATTTTTGTTTCATACATACTCCTGATTTGAATATTCTAAATATAGTACATACATACATAAAGTTTACAAGCTCTGTTGTGCCAAGATTTCCATGGATTCCAGGACAAAGATATGTTAAGGATGGGATGAGTTCTGTGGACCTTGCTGACTTGATTATATTCAATGAGAACACTCTGATAAGGTCATGTAAGTAAGCTATCCACCATTGCCCAAGGCCTTACTTGAATTTGCCATGGACTAAGTAGTCCAGCCTTAGTTCAAAGGACAAGGGAGTCTCCCCATTTGTTGATTATTCTCCAACCCTTATAAATAACTTTTCCACAACAATATGTTTTGAGTGTATTCTTTTTTTTGTAGTGGAACCAGATGAGTATTGACAGGCAGGCCAGATGTAAACTATGAATGTCAAGAGAAAGAGCAGAGACCAAATTCACATAACAAAACACACACACACAGGAAACAAAAAAAGGGGGGGGGGAATCTATGAAGAAACAAACAAGCAAGCCAAAGAGAGAGAGAGAGAGGGGGGGGGGGGGAAGAAGCATTGAAAACAATGAGGTTTTTTTAAATCTGATATATTTGAATATAAAAAACCCCACGTATAGTATAAATTTGCAAAAAGAAAGTAATGTGAGAACAGAGGAGAGACTAGAAACAAGAGAGTTGATA